GGGCGCGGGGACCGCGCCAGCCTGGCACTAATGTCTCCCTTTGTGTCTCCCCCATCCCATCCTTTTCTCCGGCGCGTCGGGCCCGCCGACCCCGCAGGAAGGCCTGGACGACGGCCCGGACTTCCTCTCAGAAGAGGACCGCGGAGTAAGTTCTGCCTCCGTTTCGCTCGCGGAACCCTGCCACCCTCCCTCCCCATCCTGGGTCCACGGGTGTGGTACGGGGAGGGGTCCCCAGCCGCGCCGCACTCCCTCTCCATAGTCCTCCTTTCGGTTTCCTCGCTGCACCGCGCCCCACCCTCCTGCAGCCCTTCCTCCCTGGGGGCCGCTCGGTTCCGATTCCCGGGGACCCGCGGCTGCTTTCTTGTTCCCCGCCGCTGGTTCGGGCCTTCTGATGGACCTCCACTCCCACCCGGGGCGGGGTGCAGGTGGGGAAGTGGAAGTGGAGGCGGGAGCTGGAACGCCCCCACCCTCCCTCGCCACTTTAGGGCCATGAAAACCCATTCTCGGACCTTCCGGCGGCACCCTCAATTTTCACCCGGTGTTGACATCTCGAACTTGCTCCCGCCCACCCTTCTCTCTGCCTCTCAAATAGTACCGGTGTAGTCTACATTACCATTTTGCAAAGATTTTTACAGTAGCCGAATCAATTCCTGTCCAGTGCCCTACTAGATTATGCAAAGTGCGGGTAGCCCACGGTATCTTTACTTTTTCTAATATCCAACGAATCCTGTCTTTGGCAGGATTTCCTTGGTGTTTTATTCTCCCTTAGCTTCTTTGAGGTATATTGAAAAATACTATTGATAATTGTATATGCTTAAGATATACATTATATTTTAATACACCAATACATTGTGAAATGAGTACCACAATCAACCTAACATATCCACTGCCTCACCTAGTTACCAGTTTTTTTTGTGTGTGAGAACATTTGAGATCTAAGCAAATTTCAAGTCTGTACCCTTTGACCAACATCTACGCTCCACCCCCCCACCCCCACCCCCCACATACACACCCCGCCAGGCCTTTGATAACCTCCATTCTACTCTTGGTGTTCTGAGGTTAGTTGCATTCTACTTCAGAAAGAGCCTTCCGGTCTCTGATTCCTCCCTTCCACCCCTCTCTCCACTCCCTTTTTTCTTGGCTGAAGGGTGGTTATCTTTATAGTCCCTTGTACAAGTGAGCACTTGGAAAATGTTGATATATGATAATTACTATTCATCAAGGTTTCGTGGTTCCTTCACATTTCACAGCCTGCCCTTCAGTTTTCCCTTTTGCTTTTTCTTAGCCGTCTTAATGTGAAAGAGACATCTGTTAGTGCATATTTGGTAGGTGATAAAATATTGTGGGATGTTATTGCTGTTTGTAATAACAGATGAGGTAGTTAGTATGAACTGATGACTTTTATAAAGCTTTTATTTATTTATTTGGTTTTATGAGACAGTATCTCCCTTTGTTGCCCAGGCTGGAGTGCAGTGGCATGGTTATAGCTCACTGCAGCCTCCCACCTCAGCCTCCCAAGTAGCTGGGACTACTGGCATGGGCCACCATGCCTAGCTAGGTTTTTGTTTGTGGTTTGTTTTTTGAGACGGAGTCTTGCTCTGTCACCCAGACTGGAGTGCAGTGGCACTATCTTGGCTCACTGCTAGCTCTGCCTCCCGAGTTCACGCCATTCTCCTGCCTCTGCCGACCGAGTGTAGCTGGGACTACAGGCGCCCTCCACCATGCCCGGCTAATTTTTTGTATTTTTAGTAGAGACGGGGTTTCACCGTGTTAGCCAGGATGGTCTCGATCCC